GCCAGCGCCCAGGCGCAAAAAAACGGAAGCGACCTGATGTCAATGGGTGGTTGGACGACCTTGACGAGTTGGGCGAGGATGGCGCCGACGACGAGGACGAGGGCGAAGACGACGACGGCGACGGTGACCCCGAGATGGTCGAGCCCGAGCCCGAGAAAGACATTCATGGCGAGGGAGGGTCTGTCAAGTCTCTTTCCTACAACGGCTGGGAAAGCCCATCATCGGTTGCAAACACTGACAAGTTGTTCATGAGTGACCACGGTGAGGCCATTCTGTCAGATGAGGTCGACTGTATATCAGTTAACAACGGACACGGTGACGACCCTGGTGGTGATGATCCCGGTGGCGATGAGCTTGTCGCCCCTGATCCAGGCGGCGGCGGTGGTCCTGGCGACCCTGATCCAGGCGGAGGCGACGGAAGCCCTCCTCCACCCCCGCCTCCGCCGCCAGCGGGGCCGCGAGGCGCTGTGGACCCCGCAGACATCACATGCGTCATGCCCTACGGCATCATCCGATACTACGCGAAGAAGGCCGACTTAGTTGCCCATTGCCCCAGGCACGGGGCCAAATGCAGATTGACCAGGACCGTGCGAGGATCACGTATACATTGGAGGGCTGCACAGGGCAGGCCTCTCGGCGCCCTCATGCTGTGGCTGAAGAAGGCTTCGGGCGACGGCTACGGCACCCACTACGACCATGTCCACCACTGCGCTCTGCACTTTGGCGACAGGCAGGCCGCCAGGGAGGAGCTCAGGGCCATGCTAGGCAGCGGCGTGCTCTTCGCCGTTGAGCGCGACCGCAAGACAGACGAGCCCGACGAGCATCCAAGAGGAGGGATGAGGATGAGGACGACGAGGTGGACGAGGAGCAGGAGCAGGGACAGGAGCAGGAGCAGGGGTTGAGGAGGTGCACAATGGGGAGGGGGGCCAGGAGGAGATCGGAGGAGGGGGAGGGGGGCGAGGATGGGGGATGAGGAGGAGGAGGAGGAGGACCAGGATAGAGAGAATGAGGATCAGGCAAATGGGGCATGAGCAGGAGGGAGGAGGCGGAGGAGGTGGAGGATGACGAGGACGAGGGAATGGAGGAGGAGGAGGAGGCCCAAAAGAGGCACCACTAATGCCCAATATAGGCACGCTTAAGCTCCAAGAGAGATTCCAACAATGCCCCAAGTTGGCTCCAAGAGAGGCCCTAGATAGGCTCCAATGGGGCCCCAATATGGCTCCACGAGAAACTCCACTAAGGCCCCAGGAGGGCCCCATCATGCCAAATAGAAGCACAACAGGGGCCCCAATGTGGAACCAAGGGGGGTCCCAATGAGGCCCCAAGATGGCTCAAACATACGCCCAGGAGATGCCCCACCAGAGGCTCCAATATGGCTCCCAGAGGGGCTCCAATAAGGCACCAACGGAGGTCACTAGGGCACAACATCGGCTCAAATAGAGGCTCCAAGAATGCCCCAAGATGGCTCCAGGTGAGGCCCAGGAGAGGCCCCAATAGAGGCTCAAAGATGGCCCAAGAGAGGGCACAATAAGGCCCCACGAGGCTCCGATCAGGCCCAGGAGAGGCACAATAGAGGCTCCAATATGGCATGGCTCCAACAGAGGCCCAAAGAAGGTCCCAGGATGGCTCCAAGAGACTCCCAGGAGAGGCCCAATTGAGGCTCCAAGATGGCTCCAGGAGAGACTCCAATAAGGCCAAATTGGGGAGGGCACTAAGGCCCAATATCGGTTCCAAGAGAGGCTCCATATGCTCTGGAGGGATGTTCCTGCAAGGGGAGGGTGGAGTTTCTGAGCTCCCAAACCCGCGTCCGTGCAGGAGCAGAAAAGGGAAACTGTTGTCATGTTTTTCTCTCTGCGAAGTACACAGGCACACCAGGGAAATGTTGGTTTGTGATTTTTCCCTCGTGCAAGCGGACTACAGCGTGCAAATACAAAAAACAAAGGGAACGGGGGAAAGAAAACACCTTCCGCTGGAAATCCTGAAATTCAAATTCCCCTCGCTGGAATCCACGAACGCACGAGGGGGAAATATGCAATAGAACATTTCCCTTTCTGTAACTGACGAAAATACACGGGGGGGCTCCGATTTCTTCCCCAGTACCTGATGTTGGTACTTGGGTAGAGAAAATTTCCCTGGGGACCTCTTGACGGTTGCTGGGCTCTTTGGGGGCTCGGGCCCCCATGGGGCCTGCGCTGACCTCTTGGGACCTCTTGGGGGCCTCTTGGGCCTCCCCGCTGATCTCTTGGGCCCCCCCGCTGGCCTCTTGGAACCTTTTGGCTTTTGGGCCCCCCTTGGGAAAAATGCAATCTTGGGGCCGGTGTATGTCTTGGGGTGAGTTTCGGGCGATGTAGGGCTGGGCTGATAGATCGCATGCGTTTTCAAAGGCGGGGGCCCTACTGGGGCCCTTGGCGATTCCCCATGGAGCGTTTCGGGGCGGGGCCTTCCGGGAACTCAAGTCTCCAGTGTGCCAAAAAATGCCCGGGATAGCCGACTATGTTGAAAGAATTTTGGGGTTTGCGTACTCGATCATATTAGGGTCCTTGTAAAGGGTTTTACGAGGGCCCTCTCAAACGTCATCTCGTTGGAGCATACATAACGCTTGAAAGCTATGGGTTATCTTCGGATTTGGGGCTCGGGTTATCTTAGGATTCGGAGTTAGTGGTTATCTGAGGATTGGGGTTAGGGGTAGGGTTAGGAACCCTTAGGGTTAGGGCTAGGGGCCCTTAGTGTTAGTGGTGATCTTAGGAACAGGGGTTATCTTGCGATTAGGGGCTATGGTAATCTTAGGATTAGGGTTAGGGGTAGGATTATGGTTAGGATTAGGGCTAGGGGTTAGTAGTAGGGTTTGGGGTTATCTTAAGGTTAGGGCTAGGGTTATCTTAGGATGATGCCACGCCCCCTTTTTAAGGTAAAAGGGTAGGGGTTGGGGTAGGGAGGTAGGATTAGGATGAGTGTTAGGGTTAGGGTTAGCGGTAGGAGTAGGGATCGGGCTGGGGATCGGGTTAGGGGCCCTTCGGGCTAGGGGCCCTTAGGGTTAGAGTTAAGTTTGCACCAGGGGCAGGGGTGGTATATCTTGGAGCCCTTACGATTCGAGTTTGTACTAGGGGTAGGATTAGAATACTTCAGGTTGGAGGTTATCATGGGGTTAGGGGTTGGGAAGTATTCAAGGGCTGGGAGTATATTAGCGTTGAGGTTCAGGGTTCTATCAGGGGCAGACTTATGGGGTTATCTTGAGGATGAGGTTCGGGTTAGGGTTATGGTTAGGGGTGTATTAAGGTTAGGGTTAGGATTAGGGTTGGGGGTCGTGTATCTTGGGGCTTTCAGGATTAGGGGTATCTACGAGATGCAAGGGGGCATTACTTTCACCAAAAATACATCCTGAGGGCCGTCTGGGCTTCAAATCGTTCCGGAATAATGACAGCATTATGGGCAAGGGGCCCCTGATAAGTTCGAGCAGGCGTTGACGCGTGCATCGGCAATTTCGTCTGCTTTATAGAACCCATGAGGGGGGCAGCCCAACAAGTGCGATACTGCCTTCTGGTTGCTCGGGTGCCCCGACGGAGCGGCTTCCGCGACTCAGCGAGGTAGCTAAGAGGTAGCTCGGACATCGGTGCTGCTTCGCCGTTGCATAGCATGTTATATCTAGGATCTAGGGCGAACTAACGAGGTAGCTATGAGAAGCGGTGCTTTGATCCGTGGCACCCCCGTCGTCGCCCCTCCCCCTATATCAACTTCCGCAACCATGTTGCGAAGCAAGTCCATAGTTTCAGGCGCACTCGCTACAATGTGACATACACTGAGCTTAGTGTACTGAGCGAGTGCACAGAGCAGCGACGGATGATTGGCACTGCAGCGGGTACCGTTGCAAAGGCACCGCGTCGCGGTGCCAAGTGTGGGCGCTCGTTCTGCGAGGCGTAGGCGACGCTCTCCCAGCGCGAAAAGTTCGGGGACCTCTTCCTGCGCAAGGACTGCGGGCAGTTCGGCGAGCAGGCTGGGTTCGAGCTGAAGGCGCCGGCATCGACGAAGTCGAAGTCGCCAGCAAAGTGGAAGGAGAGGAAGGCGCAGAAGGAGGAGTGGGCCAAGGGCAAGGCTGTCGCTGAGGACGAGAGGAAGTTCCCCCAGGAGGAGGTCTACGAGGAATCGATTCAGGATAGCTCCTTGTCAGAGGAGTTCACCTTCCAGCCGCGCGACGACTCCAAGGATGAGCACGGCTGCCTGCCAGACCAAGCGAAGGTGATGACGTTGCGCGTGACGAACGCTAAAGGCGAGGAATCGTTCGGCGCGGCGGTGGCCATGGAGACGGACACACCTCCGAAGCTGACGGTGACCACGACGAGGGGGCTCATCAGGGGGGCGCCCATCCTCGTGAAGGGCCGCAACTACTACAAAGCTCAAGCGAGCAACCTCTTTGAGAACTTGTCGGCTGACCGCTCGCGCGCGCACGGGCAGAAGTTCGGGGGCAAGTGCCAGCCGAAGGCCAAGAAGTTCAGCGCCTACAAGAGGGATGCGATCAAGCAGCTCATGAAGAAGAACGTCGACAGGCCCAAGGGGTTGCGTCGCATGGTGCGCGACGGTGAAGTTGCTGAGGACTCTGGCTCGGAGGCGGGGGCCGCGTCGTCCGAGGCCGAGGCCGAGGCCGAGCAGGAGGCAGCTGCAGGCGCAGCACAGCAGCAAGTTCCTCCAGCGACCGACGCTGGGCAGGCTTCGGCGTCGGCCGGGCCCCAGCCCTCAGACGCGCCAGAGACGCCCAGGGCACCGAGGACCTCAGCAGCGGCGGACAGCTCCAGGACCAAGGAGAAGCGCACGCCCGATAACGCGAGCCCGACCCTCGCATTGGCCCCAAGCTCGAAGAAGCCAAAGCCAGGCACGAACGTCGCGCCGTCGATCGCCGATACGGCGGCTACGGGCTTGGACGGCTAGGATGGCCGCCTTAAGCTGCCCGAGCACTGGCACGAGACCATCACCCCGTCGAGAGCGTTTGCGGGCGCCCCCCTGAAGAGGCACGTGGGCTGGGCAAGGGATTGCGTCAAGCGCATAGCTGGTCTGGGCGAGTCGGTGAAGGCCAACCACTTGATCGAACGCATCGACGCCATCGAGCTTCGCATGGAGCTGATGACTGAGCTAGCCAATGAGAAAGTGACCTTCGTTAGCCTTAGCACCATCTTGGGGAAAATTGCGACGCCAAGGTGGACTTCGATTCGAACATCAAGAGCAAGCTCTTGGGGAAGAGCTTGTTCTCATCGATTCTGGCCTTCTCGAATGGAGATACCGACGACGCCTGCATCAAGGAGATCGTGGATACCGTCATGCCTTTCACGGTTGAGAAGCTGGATGCGAGCCAGGAGGTGGCCTGCGATGACGACGGCGACGAGAACATGGCCCAATCAACCCCCGAAGAGTTCGACCCCATGAAGGTTAGCATGGCGACGATCGACGGCCCGATGGAATCCAAGATGATGTTGCTCCTGAGCGTGTTCCTGAAGGAGATCGTCCCTGCGGCGATGCAGGTGGACGAGGCTGACCAGGTAGCAGCGTCGCGCCTGTGCGCTGCCATGCTGAGTCGGTTTGAGGCAGGCGTCGCAGAGATGGAGGAGACCCCCTCCGCCGCGAGCGACACGTTGGCCGTACTTCGGGTCATGTGCGCCCTCCGCGACAGCACTGCCGACATGGACTTCGATGCCTTGGACGAGTTCTTCAGCCAGCAGCCCAAGAAGACCAAGGGCGCCCTCGCGGACCTGGGAGTGATCATCGCTTGAATGCGCACTTGAAGGAGATCTTCGAGGCGCTGCAGAGCACCATCCAGCGAGAAGATCTTCCAGCAGAAAGTCCATCCAGCGAGGCGCTGCTGCAGGGAGTGGATGCCGAAGATCTTCAAGAGCGCTAGCCAGGTCAAGGCACTCAAGACAAGCGAGGCTCCCATCAAGCTTCCCAGCGCTATCATCGACGAAGCTTTCGACGCCCTGAAGTCCTGCCGAACGATCCCGAGGGCTGGGAGTACCCGCACTTTGGAGATCGAGATCGCTGGGGTCCTCGGCGTGATCCAATCGAAGATGTTCGACAAGAGCGGCGCGGTCAATGGCGGGGGCGGCCGCAGCAAGCCCGAGCTGCTCGCAGCGGATGATTTGTTCAAGGACAGCCTGGACCTCAAGTGCTGGGCCGAGGAGTCCGGCATCAGCGCGAGGGAACACATCGGCGACGTGATGGAGAAGGCAGGAGCGAAGGAGATCATGAGCGGGCTGAAGGAGACGATGGCGGGCGGCGCCAAGGACGAGGCGGGCAGCATCGACATTGGACAAGTTCGCGCCGTCAAAGTCGCGCTGCACAACCTCACCGAGAGCTCGCTCGAAGTCGAGGGCAAGGCAGCGGCCATGTCCTTCTGCAGCGGCGTGCGGGACGCTATCCAGGACGTGGTGAACGCGAGCAATGGCGAGATTGCAGGTGTCATGAAAGACATCGCAGTGGTGACGGGCGACGGCATCAGCGACATCTCCAAGGCGTTCCACGCTGCAGGCGAGGCGAAGTTCAGCATTGCAGCGCACGTCTCGATGACCAGCGGCAGCGAGGACGGCTCTGGAGTGACGGACGAGGAGCCCATGAAAAGTACGAAGGCCATCATCCTGAAGGAGATCGCGCTCGACCAGACCATGCAAAGCATCCCCGAGCGCGAGCGGAAGCAGGTCCTGGTTGCTGCCCACGCGACCGCGAAGAACTACATCCAGACCGTCGGAGTCCAGGCGATGGGGGCATGCAAGGCCAAGCTCGACAACAGGGTGAACCTCGCTGCGAAGTGGGCCAAGGGCGGTGCTGACGGCGAATCGTGGCGGGAGGGATCGGACGACGCGAACGACCTCAGCGAGGCGCTGCCCATGGCGAAGGAGACCGCGTGCAAGCACGCGACGGACAGCTACAACATCGAGAAGATCCAGGAGCTGCTGGACTCGTACACGGAGGTGGCCAGCGTGTTCACTCGCGCGCCGTGCCCCGACTCCACCAAGACGGCGAGCGACGCGATGAAGGCTCTGGCGTAGAGCTACAGCGAGGGCAATGGTGGCCGCGCTGTTCAACGCCAAGTACAGCGAGGAGGAGCTCAAGAGAAAGGTGTTCGCTCTCAAGAGACTCGCGAACAAAGAGGGTGCGACGTGGGACAAGATGTCGTCGGCACTCGTGGAGCGTGCACTGAAGGCGTCCAAGCTGCAGTAAGGTCGACAGCTGGGCACGCTGCGACCTGGTTTGGTCAAAATGAAATGGAAACACACAATGCTCAAGTACTCGTCGTCGTCGTCGTCGTCATCGCCCTTGTCGTCGTCGTCGTCGTCCGGCATCGCCGTTGTCGTCGTCGGCGTCGTCGTCGCCGTCGTCGTCGTCGTCGTCGTCGTCCTCGTCGTCGTTGTCGTCGTCGTTTTCGTGGTCGTCGTCGATCGTCGATCGTCGATCGCCGATCTTCGTCGTCGTCGGCGATCTGCGATCGTCGACCGTCGGTCGTCGATCGTCGTCGTCGTCCTCGGGACTGGGGCGGCGCCCGCCTGTCATCAGCTTCGGCCTCTTCCCAAGACAGCCCGCCAGCCCGCGGCCCGAGGGAGGATGAGGCATGGAGGGAGGAGGAGGGGGGAGGGACAGGGTGGGGTAGGGAGGTGGACGGCAAGCGGGAGGGAACGCACGGGAAGGGAAAACGCCAGGAAAAAGAGGGGGTGACGGTGCGGGGGGGCGGCAGGACGAGGGGGAATGGATGAATGCGAAGACGGGTGGATAATAAGTCCTGGGAGTGGACAAGTTGGCTAGCCGCGAGGGGTGCGAGGATGCGGTAGGACAAGGAGGAGGCGAAAGGCGAGGATGAGGTGAGTAATGTGGAGGCGCATGGAGGGCGTAACAGGAGGGCCCCAAGATATGTTGAGCCTAGCTCTAACCCCCACCCCAATTACAAGATCGCCGCTAGACCTAACGTTAAAACTACCTCCAAGATAGCACATAACCCTAACCCTGAGATAACCCCTAACCCTAACCATCATATAACCTCTAACCTGCGGTGGCCCCGAACCCCTCACCCTTAGATGACCCCTAACCCAAATAATTATAACATTAACCTCAAGACAACTCATAACCTTAAGGGCCCAAGATAAACTAACCCCAACACCAACATATCTTTGACCCCTAACCCAGAGGGCATGATGGGGGGGGAGGATGATAAGGAGGTGGAGGAGGAGGAGAAGGATGAAGAGGGGGAGGAGGAGAAAAAGGAGGAAGAAAAGAAAAGGGGATACGGAGGAGGAGGTGTAGGATGTGCTGGAGGATGGCGAGGGGGAGGAAGAACAGGGACGGGGGGAGGAGGAGAAAGAGAATGAGGAGGAGGAGGAGGTCGTCATTTGTGGATAGAAACACGGATGCGCCGCATGGCGCGAACAACTCGGGTATAGTTGCCCGTGATAGTGGTTGCCGAACTCAGTACGACCCCCCATGATTTGTTGCGCCAACAACGGCTGCATGTTGCTAAGAAGCCTTCTTGGTAGCGGAGCTTAAGATTGCCCGGCATGCCGTGGTACATTCGGCCTGCGATATTGATGTCATTTCGGGTGTGCGTGCGCATGAATGAAACTATGGTGTTGGCGCGCGAACCGCTCGCTATGGTGCGCCCAAGCACGTGGAGATACAACAAAAACAAAAAAAAACGAGGCGGAAAAGGAACCCATGCATATGGGAAAAAAAGAAGGGGTGCGAGGAAAACACATGAAACCTGACATAGCTCCTGCGGATGCTCTGCGGAAGCTCTGCGGGTACTTTCGGGCGGGCCTGCGGATGCCTCTGCGAAAGCCTGGCGGGGAAAAAAACAAAAAGTCCCTGATGTGGCCCTTTAGGACGATCTGCCGACATAAATCTACGGGGGGATCCTGAGAGCGAGGGCCTGGAGGGGAAAGCGCCGCCAAGATTCTTGAACAACAAAACGCCCGAGGATCCTGCAGAAGCCCAGGGACAATTTTTGGCGGCGGAACTCCTCCACCTTTCCTCGGCCCCCCACCCATCCGGGGCAAAGTGGCCCCCAGGGTACGAGCACAGACAGCCCCCAAAACAAGTCCGAAGAGATTCCCCCCGGCACGGGAAACGGATGCCCGACAGCACCGCGGGCCATATTTTTTCCCTCCTCCTGCTGCTGCTGCTCCCCCCCCTCCTCCTCCTCCTCCTCCTCCTCCTCCTCCTCCTCCTCCTCCTCCTCCTCCTCCTCCTCCTCCCCCTCCTCCACCCCCTCCTCCTCCTCCTCCCCCTCCTCCCCCTCCTCCTCCTCCTCGTGAGTGGCGATCCGGAATGTCAAGACGAAGAGGTCAAATCCAGAACCCAGATCATGCGTTACCGAAAATTTTGGGTAACGAAGCACGACGGCGTTGCCAGTAACGCCGTGTTTCCGAGCCCCCAACCTGACGAAATTCTGACGTCAGGCGTGAAATTCGGACGTCAGATTGACGTCAGATATCCCATGGTTAATAGCAGGATTCTACCATTGACGCTGGGATATTTGACGTAGTAGTAGTAGTAGTAGTAGTAGTAGTAGTAGTAGTAGTAGTAGTAGTAGTAGTAGTAGTAGTCGTAGTCGTAGTCGTAGTCGTAGTCGTAGTAGTAGTAGTAGTAGTAGTAGTAGTAGTAGAGTAGTAGTAGTAGTAGTAGTAGTAGTAGTAGTAGTAGTAGTAGTAGTAGTAGTCGTAGTAGTAGTAGTAGTAGTAGTAGTAGTAGTAGTAGTAGTAGTAGTAGTAGTAGTAGTAGTAGTAGTAGTAGTAGTGTAGTAGTAGTAGTAGTAGTAGTAGTAGTGTTGTTGTTGTTGCTGTTGCTGCTGCTGTTGTAGTGGTAGTAGTAATAGTAGTAAGTAGTAGTAGTAGTAGTAGTAGTAGTAGTAGTAGTAGTAGTAGTAGTAGTAGTAGTAGTAGTAGTAGTAGTAGTAGTAGTAGTAGTAGTAGTAGCAATAGTAGTAGTAGTAGTAGTAGTAGTAGTAGTAGTAGTAGTAGTAGTAGTAGTAGTAGTGGTAGCAGTAGTAGTGATAGTAGTCGTAGGTGATGCAATAGTTGTTGTATTAGTAGTAGTGTTGTTGATGATGGTGTTCGTGATTGGTCACATCATCATGTGCATCATATGCATCATCATGATATGCATTACATGCATCACCATTCCTTCATCGTTCTACCCGGCCCCCCCACCCAGCCCTTACCATGGCATGCTTATATTCTGGGGGGGCTATTCGGGCGGTTCGGGGGTTTCTTGGGAGCCTCTTGGGGGCAGTTTGTGGGCCTCTTGGGGCCTCCTGGGCACCTCTTGGGGCCATCTTGGGGGCGCCCTCGGCAAACTTGTGACCATGTTGTGCCGCTCCGCCTCTCTCTTCGCAGCTCCGCCTATACACATATATATATATAGATATACATATATATATACATATATATATATATATATATATATATACACATATACATATTTATATATATATATATAAAGTCGCAGGGGCCGAAATCTGGGAGAGCGGGGGCGCAGGGGCGCACGGGGGACCCGCGGGAGCGAAAAGGGACGGGGGAAAGGGAAGTCGAAGGGGATGGGCGCGATGGGGGAGAGGGGAGGGAGAGGCGCCAGCTTGGGTGAACCGGATCCTGGGGCCCGGGAGCAACGCGCCCTCCCAGGGGGAGGGGGGGGGAGGAGGAGAGGGTCGAGGAGGCGGGCGAGGAGGGGGGGGGGGAAGGAGCAACGCCCCCTCCTCCTCTTCCTCCTCCCCCCCCCCCCCCCCCCCCTT